TCGCGCAGTCGGTCCCTATGGAAATTTTCCTGGATATTAAAATAACTGTACGAAGAGAGTGCCTCATTACATAAAAATGCATGAGCACCATTCACGTATTTGTCGAAGAATTTCGCGATACATAATGAATTTTTATTCCAACTCCTAGATTCTTATCCCAAATATTTAATACATCTGGCATACATTATCGAAACCAAATGAATTACCAGTGAGCTGAAAATACATACACGATTATCAAAGATATTTCTGTTTTAATGAATTATTTTTCTGTGTTAATCGTTTCTCTGCACGCGACACAGTTCAAATATTTCTATCTCCAATTTCGAAAAATTCCAACAGCTGCGCAATTATTTTCTTATTCTTCTTGCTTTTTACTTTCACTCGTATCAAGATGGATTATTTTTAGCACTCTTTGAAATCAAGTATTTCGGTAAAATAAACGCGTTAGCGACACGAGCAACAGGTTTACAAATTCCATAATTTTTGTTTAATGTCTTTGAACGTTCTTAAAATAGTGAAACGAGTTATTTGATCGGAGGAGCGTCTATCAAATACGCCAAAGAGTGTTTGAAATTCATAAAAATGTCCAGTGCTCGGTACAGTTAAGTTTTTCCGAGCCAATCGTAGAAATGGCATCGTTTTAGCTATCCACCGACTCGCCAGCTCTCCTTGCACAAACCAATTTGGCCAAAGTGGTCACGATCAACTGGCTTCCGTTAATTTTGAGCAAGCTCGGTCTACCAGGCTTCGGCAATGACAATCCCGAGTCAAGGGTCAACGGCAAACTCGGAACTAGGTCGTCCGACTTATACATAATAGATACAATAAAACATATTCAACTTATAAATAAAATACGTACCTTGTACAGTTGCTGGAAAGGTCACCTCTAATAATAATTATAAATTAAATAATCGAAACGTAAAATTAAATAGCTACGTACTTCCCAAAATATAAAGACAGAGCAGCAACTTTAAATTTGATCGGGATTGTTTATAATAAATATACGTAATTTGAAAATGAAGTCAGTTGAATTTTATTTACTTCGTGATCTTTGTTAAGCTATTTTACACAATCAAAGCGATGGAGAAAAAAGTGGATGAAAATATTGCGCACCTGAAATATTCAATGATCTAGCGTAGACTGTCATAATGATAATCGAGAAAATATAGTTTTGGTTTACTAGTTTTGTGTTTATTGATCATAAAGCGTTAAATTTGCATATTGATTGGCGGACCGACGACTAAGCGCGAGGCCAGAACGCTTTCAGATACCGGTGGCGTTCAGTCATTAAACGGGGATCGTTTATGCATCCGTAAAAGTTTCATTTCTATGACGCCGGGTTCACGAGAGTTCACGACCGGTGCACGCGACAAAATTATCAGATTACAATGCCTGAACGTATTGTAATTACATGGCGTATTCACAAGCAGCGTGGTTGACAGTTTGGCGCGCGAGGAAAGGGTGGACGAACGGTCGATGTGGAGTAGGTCGTCTTAACAGCCCCAGAGACACGCCTGGCAGATAGAATAATAGGGTATGCTGGGCGTCCTCGGTTAGTCCCTGTTAGCTAGACCGAAGGTGCACAATGTATGCAAACGCTGTAGTGCCCCGGGATTCCCTGAAAATGCTCGAATTACCGCGCCCTATCCAATAGGACGCACCCTTTCTTCCCTGTCAGTTTGATTTCCCGACTTTTCGCAATGCGAACGACGATCCCGGTGTCTTAGCGTTCGCATAAAACAGCGAAAATAGACTGGGGTTGATGTGAACACTGACGAAAGGAACTTCGATGCTTTCGATACAATCGTACCCTCCATTCTTAAATTAAAAAACACATCGATTTCCAATTCGTGTAACGTGTTCAATTTTCAATTCGTGACCACTTTCTTGATGCTTTGGTTAGAGATTATTTAATTTCAAAATTAAACGATCGGTAATCAGAGAGAAAGGAGTATCTCAGAATATTTCTTAGCAGCGGTGTACTGTAAAGTCATAATTTTCAACTTGATAAAACCATTAATCATTTTCACCATTAACTGGTACGATACAAAATTGAGTACTGTACTGGTGTCATGATAAACATGAAATCAAATATGCAAAACAATGTGCTAATCTAATTCTAGATGAACGATCCAATGTATTTCGTTCTTAGGTGGTGAATAAGATAATAGAAACACGAGAAAATGAATCTTTTACTTCGAAATAAAGTAGGAATATAATGTGACGATTCACAGTTCGTTAATAACCAACATAATATATATCAAAAACGTAATATGTATTATAATTATAATACTCACCTGGTAATACAGGGTGGTCAGTAAGTGATAGTGCAATCGGTAAAATAATAATAATTTTACTTCTATTCTACTTCTCGTTATACTACAAGCAACGCAACTTTGAACTTAATATTCACAGAAATGTAGCCTCAAATGAAAAAAAATGTTCTTCTTCTTTTTCGACTTACCTTAGTTATTATTAATTTTAGTTATTATTTTCTTCCGGTTGTACCATCAGTTACCGACCACTTTGTGAAGCTTTACTGACCTCGATGACCGTAACACATGTTGATCGGGGAACTTCTTGCTCCGATGATCATTACAGAATTATGGAACGCCCATGAAAAAATGAAATACCATTAAATTCCGCACCGATTTTGGTATTTGCTCGATGTTTTTCAAATGCATTTTTATTTCTTGTTTACCGAGGATTGTTTTTCTATTTTGTTAAAAAATTCTCCATTTATTCCACCGTATTCCACCGTATTCCACCGTATACACTGCGATGACTTCAAACACGGACGAAATTCGTCAAAATAAAACGTCATAAACGTAACGCACGTAGTGAGATAAATTTATATTCAAAACGTATGTTCATACATAAAAATTATTAGACTGATTATCAAAAAACACATAACAATGATTATATATAAAAAAAAATTTGTCGAAAGTTATACGGTCAATTTTTAAAGCATTAATATGGAGATATTACACGTCACAACTAAGATATAAACCGCAGGACTCACAACAAATATACACAAAATAAATCTTCATTAATATTAAAATAATTAAGTAACAGAAATATAGCAATACAAAGGTACGATAAAAATGTGGTTGTACTTACGAATACGACACGGCCAATTTTCGAAAGAATACAGAGATGCTTGCATCGATAAGTGGACTGCGTGAATTTTATACGTTTATGTAAAAACTGAATAACTGAATTACAAAATTGCCAACTTCTGATGCTTCAAATTGTTTTGGAACATTTTAATTGCCCACGAAGGTCCACGATTTATTAATCAATATTTAGCACCACGAATCACACGTAAAAATGTTAAATGACTATTTCTGAAATTCCTAGAAACGTTTAATATTACTCTTCACAATTAATCAAGTCAAATGAAAACAAGGAAAATCGTTTCGATCGAAGCAAAGCAGCTCATAAATAATACAAATTAATACAATATAAGTAATAAAAATAAAAAATCTCGATTACGGAAATCACGATCGAGTCAATTCCTGTACAAATCTAATCGTCGTGAACGGTGATACAAAATTAAAGGTGGATCGTATTCGCAAGCCGAAAGTTTCGTTCGAAAGGAGAGTTAGCGGTACCGTTCTTACTCTTTACGCGGTTCGAAATTGAAATCCTCCGAAATTGTCGGCGAAACGAGTTCGGTCATCGCGTGTTTGGCGCTCGAATAAAATTTTCATGGGACTTTCACCGGCGTTGAGAGATGCACGCGGCGCACTAAGATTTCCTTCACGTTCAGGACGGCGAAGTCGAAGCGCGTCGGTCAATGCGATCGGCGCCGCGGATTCGACTCACGTGCGACCGAAATTTCGGCGCCTCGTTTCGTACGTTTTTCTCATCTCTTAATAGGGAGGATCGTGTGGAGGATGCAGGAGGTGGAGATGCGGTGGGGTACGGTAACGAAGATCTCGAGAGGAGAACCGAGAAGCAGGCAAGACTCGTTTCTGTAAAACGGATGAAACGCATTCTCTTTATTTCTTTACGCCATCGAGTATTTATCTTACGTGACCGAACAATCTTCTCCTCCTCCCGTTTAACGTGACTTTTTAGCGAATGAAATTCGGACATTGTGGACTACTCACTAGGACCAGGCTGTCTCGCCTATTTACAATAGATCTTTGTACAAAAACTAATCTCATATAAACAGTAAAACACACGTCCTCGCGCCCAGGCTCGTCCGCGAACGGAAACGGAGACACTCGGGGACACCTGACCTTGTTCGCGCTAATTTGACGGCGTTGTCGCGTCGTCGTCACCTAATTGTTAGTCGTCGCCGCGCTGCCCCGTCGAATCCTCGTTTCGCGAGAACGTGGCCGAACGCTATCGCGGAAATCGTCTTTGACAGAGAGAAAAAAAAGATACAGGCTGTGAAACGAAAACGGTAAACCGCCCCGCCCCGTCTTGCAGGTCCCCGATGTTTTTCAGCCAGTCAGCTCTTTCCTTCTCAATAAATGCCGACGTTTCATTAACTTGCCGACTAACTCGCGACGTCCGGGTTGTCCAATTTCGCTGGTTCGCCGAAGCCAGGGTCGATATACCGATACAGGTCCGCGTTTCCGTCGCGACACGATCTGGAACTATTTTTCTCGGTTTTGTACAGTTGAAAGTTCGCAGCGTTTCCACGGAAACGTTCGAACGATTTCGCGTCGATCGTCAGGAAGATGCCACTTGTGATCCGATCGGCGAGAAGTCGGGACACCGTTTCCGGACACCATGGTGTCGGACACGATCGTCAGGTTCATCCGGCTCGCAGTCACCGACCGACGCGGATCGTTTACGGAGTCGTTCGAGTTTGGCGGGTGACATCTTTCTCTCTGTCTCTCTATGTCTCTCTGTCTCTCTCTCTCTCTCTTCCCCTTTCTCTCCTTCTCTCTCCCCCTTTCTCTCCTTCTCTCTCCCTCTTTCTCTCTGTCTCTCGTTTTCTCCCTCTTTCTCTCTGTCTCTCTCTCCCCCTCTTTCGCTCTGTCTCTCCCCCCCTCTCTCTCCCTCTCTCGCACTCTTTCTCTCACACCCTCATTTTCTCTCCCTTGCTGTGTCTCTTTTTGTCAGTGTGTATTCGGATTTATATACAACTCTCCTGTATCCGGTTCGAGCGCGTTACCACTTCCGGCTGATGGAACTTGCCCTGCGCGGAGATCGACGAAGACACCGGCCTCTGCGGCATCGACGAGAGCCCTTTGCTCGACCTCTGCAGACTGTAGTAGACCTGGAATCAATTGCACTTCAAAGTGGTCCTTTCGTACTGGATGAGTTAGCATGCGGCAATTCGGAAGGACATTCAGGAATCGATCTATGACAATTGTTTTTGTTTTTAAATTTTGTAGTTGTTTTGCGTTTTAAAAAGGTGTACAAATACTTTTGTGGACCACTGTAGCATTAGAAACGATTGTTAGCACAACGATTGGTTAACCCTCGGAATACGGATCTCGTATTTTTGTCAGCATGCGAACTGGCTCTCGAGTGACTTACGTTCGTCCTGTGAGGGTCAAGAGAAGGATACAAACAATGTGCAGTGTAATATACTTGAAACTGTTTCCTGATTACATACTCGACATCCACCTTAATGATATTCGAAATGAAAGGTTTACCAAAAGTTTTCCAATTAGCTGACGGAAAATTAGGTCATCGGCGCGATATCGACGCTTGATTTTTAACAATCCAGTGACTCATATAAAATCGCTTCAAAGGCACGGTCTATGGACTTCAATCTGTAGACCGGCAAATATAAAAGATCGATTTTTTCTCTTTCAAACTAGAAGAGCTCTTTAAAAAATAAAATGAAGTGCTTGAATCTCTACGCACAGTCACAGCGAATGGGTCCGATGACACGTTTATAGACAGCAATTCGAACGATTTATCGATCGTTCTTTTTTTGCTGTCGGCTCCCTTTTGTTTTTTATCTCTTCTCTCATTCACGAATGTACCAACTCTCTCTTTCTTCAGCAATAAATTCCCTAGACATTTATCCTAGCAACGTGGATTCGCGTATCCCCGAATCTGCTAAAAATTTCAGCGCTCACGGTTCCAATACTAATTTAACACTTGAACGACGGGATCTGGATTCACTTGAACCCAACGTATAAACATTGTTATTTGAACATCAAGTTTTCAACAAGCAATTTACATTTTCACATGTTTCATTAGCGCGTGTAGAAAAAAAATAAAATGTCTAAAAGGAGTGCCATAAAAAATGTGTTACAAATATTAACGAATGAAATTATAAATGATACTCTAAGCATACGCCGAAACGATAAAAAGGAAGGAGATTTCATTTCAGAATCGAGAATTAAACATTTTCCAAAGCTTTTCAATTCGAAAAATCAACTTCACCGCGGACTATTTCCTCACAATAGTAACGCAATGACGGAATAATTGGAGTCGACCTAGGAAACCGCGACGACGCCGCTACAATTTCCAATTTCCCCTGTAATGAAATAAAATTCGCGCGAAATAGTATAGCATTACTTATCGTCGATACTTATGAATATTGCAAATTCGTACGGATAGGGATGGCCAGGAGCGGCGAGGGGACGGGGCGCATTAATAATGGAGGAGGGTAGGCGCGAGGATGACGGGAAGAATAATCGAATACCGCGGGCTCGCGAAATTCCGGGGAAACAAAAACACCGGAACAAAAACATGGAAAGCGAATAGAGCGGGTCAGTTAACGGAGGACGATGAAAAAGGAAGGGGCGACTAGAGCAAGAGAATGAGAGAGAATGAGAGAGAGAGAGAGAGAGAGAGAGAGGATGAGGACGAGAGAAGCGATTCGGTATTAAAATTATTCAAACATTTAATGGAACGCGACTAGCGCGGCGTTGAAGGAAAACGGAAGCCCGAGTTCGAGACGAGAGTTACGCGCATCGGGACTGGCCCTCTCGAATTATCGAGAAAACTTCGACGTAATTAAACTCGCGGAAGCGCAGATAACCCAAGGCTTCGCTAAACCGGAAAAGTTAAAGTGGAAGACTGCCGCATATTAAAGCGACCTCGACTTGGCTCGTATCCCGCTCCCTTCGTCTTCGGAACTTCGAATATTTAAAACAACCTTGTCGATGTACTGACGCCGGGGTGCTGGCCATGGAAGAAGGTGCAAGAGGGTGCAGAGGAAGGGTCGAACGAGGATCGGACAGAGGAGAGAGGATCGACGAGGTGAAGTCGTAGTAACGGAGGGTCGATTGTATTACTTCCTCCGGCGAAAAAACGAACGCGATTTTCCTGCTGAATATTGTATCACGGCTTTATCGATCGTTCATTCCGTAATTCGCTATTTTCCCCGGGTTCCTCGATCCTCTCTGCCGCAACCATTACCCCCTCCTCTCGCCCGCTTTCGCATGCACACACACATACACGCGCTGTCTGTGGCAAAGAGAACCGTTAATTGCGTCTCATTAATCAAATCGCATCAACTAAATATATACCCATTCTATTAGATATCACGAAAAAGGAGACAGATTAAATTTACAGACCGTAATGAGTTTACGAGGCTAATTATCGGGATGATTTATACACCCAAACGAACGCCCGTCGACTCTGTATCTGCTCTGTCGGCGTTGTCAATGAATAGGTAATAAGTAAAAACGTGAAGGGTAAGCAAAATTCACGTTTTTCGAATTTCAACTTTCTAGAACATCCTTTCGGTGTTGTCGAAAATTACGGGTTTCCGGTTTTAACGTTAACTTACCGAGCCGATCAAAACGACCGATTTCACATTTTTCGTTTCACAGTTGCTGAAATAGAAACGACTCTCTCATGGAAAATGAATGAATTCCTCAATCGAAGCATACGATGTAATTAAAAATAGCGACATGTCTAAATAAATAAAGTCTTGCCATCGTTATGAAATAACACACGTTAGATGCTTTTAGTAGATAATTAACAGTGAAATGATTACAATTTTGGTTACGTGAAACGATTCTACAGACCCTTCTTTTTTTTAAAAAAAAACGTATATTTGTTATTACAGTATTGGGTACGTTTAGAGAGATTTAAATAATTTCTCAAGCGAACGAAGAGCTCTGAGTTAATTTTCCGGTATCCTAATAAATAATTTTCTAATAGGAAGGACGAAACTAGTACGAATGTAAGGGAATATTAAAAATGTTGGCACGATTGGTCGACATCCTCTTAAATTTAGAAAAATATTGGTAGAAATATGTAATAAGTCTCGCATGCAATATTTGAACATACTATCTACGATGGCCAAGAAGTAAGTGTATAACCAACTTATAACTGCACTTCATACATAAATATGAGCTAGCTGATTTAAAGCCTCGATCCCGAGTGTTGTGAAACCCCGGTATTCCGAATACGGATTACTCTCGATCCTATGATTTTATTATCCAAATATGTAGAATGATCCATCACAAAACCAATTATCTGTTTTACGATCGAGACTCGAAACAGTGACGGAAATAAATTGTGTAATTATTTCGAATTACATATATATCATACATTTTTGCATTTTGAATTCGGTCGAATCAGAATCATCGAATCGTTCCATTTCTCTGAATTCTCCGAACAATACGGAAAGGGGAACTAACATTTTTATGGAAATAAAATATTAAAATCGTATTACGTATTATCAAAAGTTGGATCTTTCAAAAATCGTTCAGATAAAATCTGTAACGTCTTTTTAAATGCATTCTGCTGAATATTTTGATAGACTGTCTGCCTTAGAAAAAAGCGCATGAAAAACATTTATTCTCTCCAGAAATTTAGTATTCTAGAAATATGTTCGCGACATGTGGTGGCATGTGAAACAAAAACCGAATCTTATTATGGTAACAGAAACATCAAATAAATGATTCATTCTATTCATTCAAACGTTTCGTTGTTTCAAAAGTTTTCGAAATTCGTGTTGCCGAAGTGATACGTATTTACGATACCTTTTTCAACGAACAATTTGCCCAGTTAGAAGAAGTACATTTGACAACTTACATTTTGGTTGTTACGCTGATTGTAAGCATCCATTGCGATTTGCTTGAAGTCCGCCATAGTGGGCGTATGGTTGTAAGTGTTCGACTGAGGGATATGATTCTGGGGGTAATTTATGGTTGGCGTTGGCAGACAATCGCTTAGGATCGGGTCCGACGGTAGATCCAATCCGTGTTGCACGATCGGTCGTTTCTCGGGCGAGATCGAGTCGTCCGTGGCGCGATCCTTCTTTCTTCTTTGCGGGGGTGTCTTGTATATCGGTGTGTATGTTAGGGGTCTTCTCTCTGCGAACAGATTTGACGAAGCCATGTAAAGTTTCACGTTCGCTAAGGAGATTACTCGATTAAATTTAGACACGAGCGGTCTTTTTACGCGAACAATAGCTTGAGGGTTTTTAATGCGCGAGCTTCGCTTAATATCCCGAAGCAAGAGTGTGTCAGAATCAAGGATTTTAGGGATTTAACTTGCGACAATTTCTGTGTGACCAATTTGAAAGGAATTATGCATACTACTTTGAACATTAGATACAGTGGCCCACGAAAGTGTTCGTGCACCGTTTAAAACGCAATAACTATTTTAAAACTAAATTAAAACACTCGAATTTCTTTTTAGATAATAGAGGGACTAGTTTAGTAGACGACGAATGAAATGCTTTTTTTGTTTTTAATCTTTTGTCTTTCGACTTTTCTGTCTGAGCCTATAACGACAATTTAAAGAATGCGTTTTGTAATAATTATTAAAATTATTATAATTATTGAATTATATAACCTTGAATTTGATAATTATTATAATTATTAAATTATTATAATTATTGAATTATATAACCTTGAATTTAATAATTATTATAATTATTGAATTATATAACCTTGAATTTAATAATTATTATAATTATTAAATTATTATAATGTTGAAGCATTTATGACAAAAATGAATGAATACAATTTAAAAGAATGAATCGATTAAAAGTTTCTGTTCCTTGGAATTGATTTGAACAATTTTTATTTTGC